ACTGCCTGGTCCTGTGCATCCTCACAATCATTGATACGTTTGAGGTCATTGTTGCGGCCACCGTGCCAATCCATTTTGCTGATGGTCTGCCTCCAGAGATCATGGAAATAAGTGATGTGCATGGCCTTGGGCTCTTCTTTTCTCTGGCTGCTAAGAACTGAATTAGTGCTGTCAAGTGGGTAAGGCTCTGAACTCAGTCTGCTGGGGTTCGAATCCTGACTCCATTACGTAACAGCTGTCCAAACTTGGGACTATATTAACTTTCCTATACCTCAGTCTCCTCATCTGTAAAATGGGGATGCTGATCATTGATAATAGTAATGGTCATAATAGTATTGGTCTTATCAGGTTGGTTCTGCCACTTGTGTTTGGTAGGGGAGATAGCATGTCATATTGGAGCTGGAAGGAACCATTCTCAGAACACTCACTAGGTCGTCACAGTCCTATGGGGCAGTGACTTATTCAGGGTCACTCAGCAAGGCTGGGGTTCTTAATTGTAACATTTATCCTACTACTTTGCACCCCACACTTGGATTGTGTACTTTACATACATTATCATTTTTAATCCTCATAGCCATTCGGCATGGCACGTGTTATGCCCTTTAGCAGATGGAGAAACTGCGATTCAGTGAGGCCAGGCAGTGTGTCCAGGGTCACATCATGAATCTGGATTTAAATCCTGGTCTGCTTGTCTGAAAGCCCACACTTTTCCTTTAGTTCCTGGAACCTTTCCTCATCTCCAGCTCAGCTGATGGAGAGGACTGCAATGGAGCCTGTGAATCTGCAGGGAGAGAATGCCTGACTGGGGTCCCTTACCTGGGGACATTAGCAGGGGATCTCTCTTGGAGACCATTGCAGAAAGCTGAGGGCAGGCTGGGCCATGGGAAGGCCTCTTAACTAGGTGTCTTTGTGTTGGAGCAAGGGGACTGTAAGCCAGAATGAATGTGCAACGAACGATGCTGTAACTGGCCTGCGAGTGGGTGAAGGGAGTGGAGGGCCTGGGTCTGTTAGGAAGCACCGTATTGAGAGGTCCCTTCCAGCGTTCTGGGTGTGAAGAGGGCGCGTATACATACATATGCCCATGTGTCTCAACTGTGTTCGCTCCTGGTAATGCGTGTATGCGTGCCAGGGTGTGCTTGGGTTCACAGGAATCAGCATTCTCAGCTCAAGGAAGACCACCTCTCTCTAACCCTGGTCCTGGAGCAGTTTGTTGAGTGATGACTAGACCTTTGTTCTTTCCCTTTGAAGATTTAGTCCTGTGAGTCACTTCTAGGAGTTAAATTCAGCAGAAATCGATGACCTGGTCCCTTCCTTGTTAGACCACTAGATGCCCTCCGATGCCGTATTACTGTATGTGGACTATGGTAGTTTTAAAAGCAGCATGAAAGAGAAGGGGAAGAACGCTGGGGTGATTAGTGGGGAATTCAGGTCCAACAGAAGTTTTTTTGAAGATTGGAGAGAATTAAACTTGCTGTGAGGAGGTAGGCAGAACACACGATAACTGTTGAAGGGAGGGCTGAGGTGGACAGTCTCAGCCCTCCTGGCCTGGAAAATGGATGTAGATGAAGATGAAAACAGAGGGCTATGGGTGAATGACATTTGCTCAGTGGCCTCTTGATATATTTTTTTTCTTTTTTCTGTTTGAATTGGGAAGAAAACTGCCTGGAGTAGAAGGACCAGTATCTAAGGGGATTGAGAGTAGAGATCAAGTGTCTGGGTCAGCTGCCATGGCCAAGGTCCTGTCTGCTTCAGGAATAGGGAGAGCAGCCTAGAGCGGGGCTGAATCCAGAGTTGAAGGAGAGGTATAGTAAGTATGAAGTTGAGAGGACAGGTGGCTAGGCTCCTGTAGGCCAGTTTCTGAGGCAGAGGGGTCCCCAATGATGGCTAGGACCTGAGTAGACCAGGGCAGGGCACTTGAGTGGAGTAGATTTGTGGAGGCCAGGGCAGGAGCTGAGTAAAAGGGCGGGAAGCACTGTGTATCAGGTTGGGGTGCTGGCAGGTAATGTGTGTGGATGATTCCAGATCCAGAGCCTTCCTCACTGTGTCTATGTCTGTGTGGGAGCGGCCACTCCTCCTCTCTAGCATGCCCAGTTTAACACACTCAAGGGCAATACTACCACCATCATCAATCTCTCCTTTCCATCTTGAGGAACCAAAGCACAGATAACGGTGATAAGAAAAACAATTGGTTTGGGGTCCATGTAAAAACAATGCTTGTACTTGTGTAACTTTGATGTTATCTCATGTGACCCTGCAGCTGAGTTAATTTCTGCTGTCCCCTGAAGTGACCCCATGACACCAAGCCGCCTCTGTTCTTTGGGAATCCCTCTCACCAGCAGTTGGAAAGCTGCACATTTGCCTCCCACAGACTTCACATTCAGCTCTGCTTGTGGCAACTCTTTCCTCTGCCATGGGTAGCCAGTATCACCTCTCAGATGGATGTAACACCAAGCAGAACGGACCTACCTTCCTTTTTAAGTCTATGTAGTTCATGTCTTTCCTAAGGCAGTGGGGACAAGATTTGCCCTGCCACCCCCAAGCTGCCCTTTCCCATCGACATTAGGCCAGTCAGTCACAGGAAGTAGTGAGACTCAGCAAGGCCAGCTGTGGAGAATGGGAGAGACTATTGTGACCCAATCTATCTTGCTGCTTTCTTCAAGGGGGTACTATTCACAACCTAGAAAACCAAATGCTTGTGAAGCTCTAAGCACTTGATTTTTATCTTAACTATGTCAGTGTTCCAACTGGTGACAGTAAGATGCCTGGAGGAAGAGGATGGGACTCCTGGCTTTCTGTGTTCTGCATCTTTGAAGGAGCTGTTTCTGTGGTCAGGGGTGTCTGCTCCCTTTAGTTTGGTCAACTTGACCCCTCACTCTTCCAGGTCCAGTAAAGACACCATGTCTTTAGTGAGGCCCTCTTGGTGCACCTGTATCTTCTTACCATTCACACAGGATACTGTCTTATCTGTTCTCTCCACGTGGTGGAACCATCCTATTCACCTGTTAGTCTGCCCCCGTACTGAACACCCAGACTCAACCTAACCCACTATTGTCCACTTGATGCTGACTCGGACAGAGTAGAACTACCCTACAAAGCTTCCAAGGCTGTAATCTTTACAGAAGCAGATTGATTGCCTTATCTTCCACAGAACTTGGTAGTCTGGAACCAAAACCACTGAACTTTCAGGTTAGCAGTCAGATGCTCCTTACACCTAGCGTAGCATTTTAGTATTTGCTTGATAAAAATTTGTTGAAGGATGCCAAACCTGTGAAACTTGTCTTAGTATTGGCACAAACCATCTCTACATGCACTATGGCCCCTTTTAGCCTTTTAGATTTTATCCCAGGATCAGACCAGCCCATTGGAGCCATGTGCCTGACTCTGAATCCTTTTTTAAAAGATGTTTTGGCTCATTCCTGATTGGTGCTGAGGCCAGTGCAACTGAGAGTTACGCAGTGTTTCTGCTGTGTGTACTATAGTGATGTTCTGGAGGATGTTTTTCATTGTATGTCAGAGATAAAAACAAACAAAAATCTGTGATCTCTGTGTCAAGAAAATATTTGCTGCTTTTGAGTAATGGTGGTGTCTTTTACTTTGCAAACTGACTCTATTTGGCTACTGGGCAGCTTAGAGACAAATTTGTAGCCCAATTTCTATGATGTGCATTGTGTAATAACTTTCTCCTGACTTCTCTGGAACATGATTTGTTTATTTTAAATTATCTTTTTGTATTGGATATATTTAAAAAACAATTTTTATTTTGTTGTTGAGAATATACACAAAGCATATACCAATTCAAGTTGCTACATGTGTCATTCAGTGACACTGATATACCATTCTTGGTGTTGCGCAACCATTCTCACAGCCTCCCTCCTTTTCTGAGTTGTTCCTCCTGGAAGAACAGAAACTCACTGCCTATATCAGGTGTATTGCGGTGAGACAGGGAAGGAGCCAGGCGGCAGCACCTGCTGCGGGCATATAACCAATGACTGCATGCAGAGTCTGGTCTGGAACCCTGGTGCTCTGATGGTCTCAGGCAGAGGTGGAAAGCTACCAACTGGAAAGGAAGCGAATACTTCTGGCTCAGCCTCTGGGGTTTTCCAGGGACAATGAAGCACTGCCTCAGACTCCAGCATCTCTGACCTTAGGCCCAAGGGGGCTCTAGAAAGCTCAGAAAAAGCTTGAGGTAAACAGAGCACTGAAAAAATCGAACAGCTGGGCCACTAAGCCAGGGGTCCTGGGCTAGCCACACTTGTCATTACACAACTCTGTGTGAGCAGTAAACATGTTACTGAGTAAGATCCTCTGAGTTGGGTGTGTCTCTACCCCTAGAGCTGCTCATGTGGGCAGCCTGGAGTGTCCTGCCCATGGCCTGGCCCTTCACTTCATTGTTAGTATGAGAGTAAGGGCCTGCGTGCTACACAGTAGGTATGCCTAGTGTGACCAGGACAGGAAAATCTGCCCACAAACATGGAGTTAGGGCCTAGTCACACATATGCAAGGATGCTTCCAGATCCCTCCTGCCTTCTAGGAAAATATTTCCGGGTTAACTTTAATCCTGGCACATGTGATGCAAATATTGGATATTTGGTGCCTGGAGGGCAGTTGGTGTTGTCCTTAAGTGCTGCAGAGCTGTTTCCAACTCATAGCTACCCTGTAGGGTTTCTGACAATGGCTGATAACAGAACTGAACTGCCGATTTTCCAAGTAGAAGTCCAGTGCTATCCTACAGTGCAACACCAGGACTTGTTAAGTGACATCCAGTTGGGTTTGACTCATAGGGACCCTGTATAGGGTTTCTGAGGAGTGGCTGGTGGATTTGAGCCATCGACCTTGAGGTTTAGTGCTTATCCTACAGAGCCACCCCAGGACGGGTGCAAGAACACCAACCTGTCCCAAGCTGTGACTTAGGTGGCTTCTGGCTAGCGGCCGGTGGGTTCTCCTAGGCTCTGTAGGACCTTACCAGCTGCTTCGCTCTTTTGCCAACAGCTCTGTTGAAGATGCACTGGACACCGGAACACGCCCAGCCCCTAAACCAGTGGCCAGAGCAGCACCTAGACGTCTCCTCTACCACCCCATCACCGGCCCACAAATTGGAGTTGCCCCCTGGGGGTCGTCAGCGCTGCCATTATGCGTGGGCACATGATGACATCTCCGCCCTCACCGCCTCCAACCTTCTCAAGCGATATGCGGAGAAGTACTCAGGGGTCCTGGACTCCCCCTACGAGCGCCCCACCTTGGGCAGCTATGGCGATGCTGCCTTCCTCAACGGCGCCAAGGGGGACCCCGAGCCTTGGCCAGGGCCAGAGCCTCCCTACCCCCTGGCCTCACTCCACGAGGGCCTCCCGGGAACCAAATCGGGCAGTGGGGGTGGCTCCGGAGGCCTGGGGGGCTCCCCAGCTTTAGCCGGGAATCTGCCTGAACCCCTCTACGCTGGCAATGCGTGCGGGGGCCCGTCGGGGGCCCCGGAGTACGCAGCGGGCTACGGCGGGGGGTACCTGGCGCCCGGCTACTGCGCCCAGCCCGGCGCGGGGCTGCCCCCGCCCCCACCCGCACTACTGCAGCCC